TGGACCTCTCATATTCTCGATCTATACCTCCTCACTGGGTCAGTTGATAGCCTCCCATGGCTTCCAATACCATTTCTACACCGATGACACCAAAATCTATCCTCAGCTCACACCATCAGTACCCACACACATTTCTAAATTTCTGAAAGACATATCAGTCTGGATGTCACACCACTTCCTCAAACTTAATAGATCAAAAACCAAGCTCATAGTTCCTCCACCCCGAGCATCTTCCCCTGACTTGTCGGTCAAGATCGATGGTGCTATTATCAACCCATCCCTGCATGCCAAGGCATTAGGCGTTATCCTGGACTCTGAGCTATCCTTTCAGCCCCACATCTAACCACTGTCTAAAGCTTGCCACCTCAACCTACACAGAATCTCCAAAATACACCCCTTCATAACCAATGACACCACAAAGTTTCTAATTCACTCCCTGGTCATCTCTTGCCTCAACTACTGCAACACACTCCTCATTGAATTACCTTTACATAGGGTATCCCCTCTTTAGTCCATCATAAATGCTGCTGCCAGACTCATCCAACCATTCAGTGTCTGCTACTCTTCTCTGCCAATCCCTTCACTGGCTTATGCATACCTAATGAATTAAATTCAAGATACTAATAACTTATAACGCTATTGATAACTCTGTCCCCCAGTTACATCACTAACCTAGTCTCAAAATACCACATATTGGTTCTCTTTATTCCTCCAAAGACCACCTGCTTTCTAGCTCCCATGTCACGTCCTCCCATGCTCTCCTCCAGGATTGCTCCTGAGGCTCTACCATCCTATGGAACTCCCTACCCCAATATGTTCAACTATCTCCTACTTTGTTCACTTTTAGATGATCCCTGAAAACCCCATCCTGCCGCCTCCTAACATTTGTGTTTTTATTTTCTCTATCAGCCCATCCCCCACAGTTATTACCTTTTGTATCTCTTGACCCTCCCTCTTAGATTGTAAGCGCTAATGAGCAGGGCTCTCTGATTCCTCCTTTATTGAATTATATTGTAAGTGTATTATCTACCCTCACACTTAAAAGCGCTGCACAAACTGTTGGTGCTATATAAACAATAATCATGTATAATTACACTAATATTTTTTTTTTTTCAAAATGTTTTGCCATATCCATGGAGCTCATGACTATGCTGACTGGTCAAATAGAAGTTTTGAAGCAGTTTATGTTCAGTTTTGGTCATGCAAAATGCTTGTATATAGTTATTAAAAAAATTATGAATACTTTTTTTTTTTATAAGCAATCACATGACCTCTATTCTAAGCTGCAGAAGGGGCTTAGAGAGCAGAGGGGTGTGTAAGCAGGAAGCAGAGAAACATCAGTATAGTGATCTGTAAAAAGATGTGCAGGGGAGTGTCAGCACAAGTCTGGACATTGGAGTACAGACAGGCTGTGTCCCCAATAAAATGCACAAAAGAAAGCTGATCACACTGGGGTGGATGTGCTTCAATGCCTAGTGAGGTCAGCTTGAAATAGGAAAGCAGGGGGACAGGTAGGATCACAAAATATTTTACACAAAAAAAGCAATGCAAAGAGAAAAGGATTATTTTTCAAGTAAGTACATGGTACAATAGACACATCAAAAATATGAAATGTTGGCACTTTATAACATCGCAAATATACACTTTATCCCAAGCTTCCCATCAGCTGTTGTATTGACAATAATGGGACCTTCTGGACTATACCATGAGAACAGGAACTGGGATTGTACTAGTGTTCTGGTGTGACTGCTTGCATTTGTGCTATTAAAGTAGAAATAAAGGCAAAATGTGTGTCTCGGTGAGGGGACTTTCCTTTATTTCCTGTACAATAGTCAAAATAGGAAGTGAGAATAAATCTCTCTAAAGTGAGGGGGATCGGTTGTCGCCAGGGGAACTAGAACTAGTGTTACCATTGGAAGATTTCCCCCTATTCCTGTCCTGGTGACAATCCAAAATTTGGGGTTTTCCTTCACTTTCACTCTTGGTGATAATAAATAGGAGATATACAGGGGGTGAACAGGGGCACAGATAGGAGGAACAGACCACAATTAACCCCTGAAAAGTGTCTAATCCATCCTTGCTCTATCCAAAACATAAAAAGCATGTTTTGGCTTTAGTTGTACACCGTAAGCCACTAAACTGCTCAGGAGCACTGATTCTAATGAATATCAGCAATGTTCCACATATCAGCAGTTCAGATTGAACATATTCAACAGAATACACCACCCATGCCACCTGTCAGTTACACTGCTCAGGTGATTCACTTAAACAGTATTGAAAAAACCTCAGTACTAGGTGTACAGTACTAAAATAACATTATGATCAAATCACTATGTGCAAAAATTGGATCTATTATCCAGAAAATACAACTACTCAAAGTCTGGAAATTAGTAAATGCATAAAGTATTTTGTGCCACACTTTCAAAGGTCAATATACTCAAATGCATGCTATAGTGTGAATGCACACCTATCACCAGTCTATATATAATATATAGTGGATATAAAAAGTCTACACACCACTGTTAAAATGTCAGGTTTCTGCAATATAAAAAAAATGAGACAAAGATAATAATAAAAATTCAAAATAATTTCAAACTTTTTCCACCTTTAATGGGCCTTATAAACAGTACAACTCAATTGAAAGACAAACTGAAACCTTTGGGGGGGGGGGGGGGGGGGGGTTGAAAAAAACTAAAAATAATGTGGTTGCAAAAGTGTGCACACCCTCTTATAACTGGGGATGTAGTGGTGTTCAGAATTAAGCAATCACATTCAAAATCATGTTAAATAGGAGTCAGTACGCACCTGCCATAATTTAAAGTGCCTCTGATTAACCCTAAATAAAGTTCAGCTGTTTTAGTAGGTCTTTCCTGACATTTTCTTAGTCGCATCCTACAGCAAAAGCCCTGGTCCTCAGAGAGCTTCCAAAGCATCAGAGAGATCTCATTGTTAAAAAGTATCAGTCAGGAGAGGGGTACAAAAGAATTTCCAAGGCATTAGATATACCATGGAACACAGTGAAGACAGTCACCATCAAGTGGAGAAAATATGGCGCAACAGTGACATTACCAAGAACTGGACGTCCCTCCAAACTTGATGAAAAGACAAGAAAACTGGCCTGCGAGGCTGCAGGGAGGCCTACAGCAACATTAAAGGAGTTCCAGGAATATCTGGCAAGTACTGGCTGTGTGGGACACGTGACAACAATCTCCCGTATTCTTCATATGTCTGGGCTATGGGGTAGAGTGGCAAGACGAAAGCCTTTTCTTATGAAGAAAAACATCCAAGCCCGGCTACATTTTTCAAAAACACATCTGAAGTCTGCCAAAAGCATGTGGGGAAAATGTGTTATGGTCTGATGAAGCCAAGGTTGACCTTTTTGGCCATAAATTCCAAAAGATATGTTTGGCGCAAAAACAACACTGCAAATCACCAAAAGAACACCATACCCATAGTGAAGCATGGTGGTGGCAGCATCATGCTTTGGGGCTGTTTTTATTCAGCTGGAACTGGGGCCTTAGTCAAGGTAGAGGGAAGTATTAACAGTTCCAAATACAAGTCAATATTGGCACAAAACCTTCAGGCTGCTGCTAGAAAGCTGAACATGAAGAAGAACGTCATCTTTCAGCATGACAACAACCCAAAGCATACAATCCAAATCAACAAAATGGCTTCACTAGAAGATGATTAGCTTTGGAATGGCACAACCAGAGCCCAGACCTGAATCCCATCGAAAATCTGTGGGGTGATCTGAAGAGGGCTGTGCACAGGAAGGAGATGCCCTCGCAATCTGACAGATTTGGAGTGCTTTTGCAAGGAACAGTGGGCAAATATTGCCAAGTCAAGATGTGCCATGCTGATAGACTCATACTCAAAAAGACTTAGTGCTGGAATCAAAATCAAAAGGTGCTTCAAAAACATATTAGTTTAAGAGTGTGCACACTTATGCAACCATATTATTTTAGTTTTTTATTTTTACTTACCTCCACCTAAAAGATTTCAGTTTGTTATTCAACAGTTGTACAGTTTATAGGTTACATTAAAGGTGGAAAAATTTCTGAAATTATTTATCTTTGTCTCAATTTTCTTTCATCATAGAAACCTGACATTTTAACAGGGGTGTGTAGACTTTTTATATCCACTGTATGTACAGTGGTCTAGGGGGTGGGTTACTGGTAGAGAATAGCCTGTTTTATTGATCTAAGCATTCAAAGTGAGAGAAAACTGGCATTACATTAAAATCGCAAAGACATCGACATGGGATACAAATCTGTAGAAGCAAAGTAACACACTATAGTATGATTGCAAGATTTGGGTAACTATAAATACAGTAAATAAACACTGCAATCAGGAAAACCAATTGCTTTTTTCCCTTCATTAGCATATGGAGCAGAACTGTACACACGTGTATATTTACAGTAAAGTAACGTACCACAACTGGAAGCTGGCAGTCTGAGTGGAATCACAAAAGTCAATACCCATTGAGACAGTAATGGATCCCTCTGGCTCCAGAGAATCTGCAAAATAAAATGTTTTCCCCAGGTAAAAAGAAAATCAAATAACAAACACCAGTCAGCATGCACATGCAATAAAAATGCTTGGCTTATCACATTACTGGCTGGGGAAGCCGCTACACATGAGACCTTTCTCTGTAAGGAAAAAAAACAAGCATAAATAGGTGTTTCCATTTGGCAAGCAATGGTCCCTGTTTTTGCTAACAAGATCTGTTTGTCTCAGTAAAATTGGATTGTGGCTAATGTTAGATTTGTTTCTTTTTAAAGGGATACAAATACTGCAGTTATGGATCAAGCACAATCCTCCTATTCAAATAGGAAATAAAGAGGACCAATGACATGAATGTTTTTATTAAATCGGGAATATCTCTCTTGGATTCCTCATTACATTTTGAATAGGTTGACACAAAGATGCCATACGTCAGATAATGTCCCAGGTTTCATGCATCCTAGGATCTAAATTAGTCACTAAAGCCAGGACCCTGCATTCACTATATTTGGTCCCCCACAGTGCACAGAAAATGGAAATTCAATTCTTTTAGTAAGTATAAACTGCTAAATACCTTTTTTCCCTTTCTAGTTAGAGCAGTCTTGTGACTTCTATCAATGTACAGCAGAGCACTGGTTAAAGCTTCTAGAAGGAGCTTTCATTCCTCCCTGATTGTCCTATGTGGCTGCATAACCCCTGACCCTCTGTCTATGCCGATTGGCCCTGTGCTGATTACATGCACTTTCCCAAAGAGGAAAAAAATTCTATAGCAATACACACCAAACTGAGCATGTGCAGTTGGCCCCCAAGGCTCTGTTCCATCAGCAGATGGACTGGGGACAGTAAAAAGAAGGGGAGAATCAGAGAAGACAGGATCAACCATCCTTTTTACACAGTGTAGAGGATTAACCCCTTAGGTTCCACAGTGAGTATGTCAAGCATGCATATACAGACTGTTTTTACTGTTGTGGGTTTAGTAACACTTTAACTATAACCTATTATGGTTTACCATACATACAGTACAATAAAAACAGACCTATTCATTCCCATGAATTAAGGCTACCTACACTAATGCCAATATTTGCAGCTTGGCTGCACCATAAAATGACTGGCCAAAAGAAGGATTAAAGAGACTGTCCTCTCCCGCAAAAGAACAAATTCTAATAGGAAGAGAAAGCATGTGTGTTCAGAGTCTCTATTTTTTGTTTGTCTCACCAGTTTTGTCAGTTAAATTCCACCTATCATGCTAGCAACTGCTCAAAAAACTAATGTCTCCCACAAAAAAAAAAAAAAAAGTTAATTAGATAATCAGCCAATATGAAAAATATATAACATACTATCTTCTAAAAAAAAAAAAAAAGTTAGAATTAATCCCCTATATCAATCTATAGGGAGTGTTGCAATGTAAAAAGGTGTGTCAGAATATTATTTCACAGACCATTTTTGCAGTTGTTTTCCATTCTTGAAACAGACTTTGAACAAAACAACGCATACTGGAAAAACCTAGGTCTCTTGGGGAAAGGTTTCCCCAATGGTCTGTGTCAAGTGGCCAAAAGGATGAAATGTCGATCACACGATCTCTGCTGAAAGGGAGCTTGGGGAAGCGATAGTGAGACAATGTCTATCTGCCAGCATCTGTTCCTGAGCTCTAATGCAGGCCATAGACGGGCCGTTTATCGGCCAATAGTAAACAAAAAATCGATCGGTGCTGTTGCCGATGCTGCCACCAATTTTCCAGCATGACCGATAAAAATAATAAATGAGAAGATCCGCGAAAAACTGCCGACGGGCTGGCCCCACTAAAGACATGAATATTGGCCGATTTTTCGTACGGACGAAAATTTGGCCGATAAACGACCCGTCTATGGCCTGCTTTAGAGCTCAGGAACAGATGCTGGCAGACAGACATTGTCTCATTATTGCTTCCCCAAGCTCCATCTCTTATCTGAGTCTGTCCCTTTTATGCAATTATCTGGGAAGGTGATTAGTATCTTTGTTTGATATTAGTTTGGTGTTTAAAGGCAAAATTCTCTTTTTACATAACTTGGCCCTCACACACAAGGGGTCCTAGTAATTAAAAATACACTGTGCCATTTGAAAAAAATATTGGGATACAACACGATGGCCACAGAGGCTCCTTCTTTGAGGACAAGTAAAGAGATCGTCAGTTTAGTTGTTATCAAAGGAGAAGACTCAGTGGCCATTTTGTTGTAGCCCAAGTCCTGGAAATAAGGTGGAAAATAGGAATTTAAACTTTGAGAGTATTTCAGCCCAGCTTTATGTGTGACAAAAAAGGCCTACAGGTATGACGTTTGCATTAAACACTATTTTTACAAAGAAAACTGTGTGTTTTAAATGACTGGGGCTTCTTTTCAGCTGGGCAAGTTTATGTAAAAGGTGAAATCTGCTTTTAAAGAGTTAAAAGACTAATGAAGGTTATAATGATCATTTAGCAAAAATATGACTTCCCTGTAAGAGCTGCTGTTTAAAAAAAAAAAAAAAAAAAAAAAAAAAAAGAACCTCAGGCTGAGCCATTGGTCTATGAAGGTGACTTAACAGCAGGCAGAGAAATGCTTCACACCTAATGAACATACATGAAATTAACCAGGCTGCTGCTGTATGGGTACTGTATAGAATTTGCATATTCTTTAGTGCTCTGCAATACAAAGAAATGTCCACAATACCCGCCTTTAAAAAGTATATCTTCACATTATTTTATATATAAAAGCTTTCAGTTACATTAAAATGACATCATGTTCAGTTAAATAACCAATGTGTAAAAAGAACAAGCAATTATAAACACAAACAGAAAACACTGCAGCTATGCTAAAATAAGGAAGTCCAATTCGTTTTTCATAAACTAGCAATCCAGGTTAAAAAAAATGCCCAGCTGTAGTAAAAAAAACCCAAAAAAAAAAAAAAAAAAAAAAACCAAAAACACTTTTGCTGCAATACTTACATTTGGTCTGACAATGTCTCCTGCAGAAAGTCCAATTGTGCACTATAAGGCACTCCTTTATCAGACTGTATGATGGTCAGTGGCATTCAACCCACTTTCTGTGAGCCCCCAGTAGGGGTGCATCAACATAACGGACTGAGCTCAGGGCACTACTGTACTGAATGTCGCTCACATGTGATTACAAAAGAACCATTCAATGCATGAGTAAGGAACAGCCACTGCTGAAAAGTAGGAAAGACCCATGACACCACTTGACTGGCCAAAACACCACTTGATTAAAAAGGTATGTATCCCCACTCCAGTCGATCCTAAACTCAGCGGCTAGACTCATCTGCCTCCCCCCTCTGCCAATCCCTTCATTGGCTCCCAATTGCCCAACGCGCCAAATTCAAACTGCTAACTCTGACCTACAAAGCCATTCACAACGCCGCCCCGAACTACATAACTGACCTGATACCCAAATACTACCCTACCCGTGCCCTCAGCTCCTCACAGGACCTCCACTCTCTAGCTCCCTGGTCTCCTTCTCCCACGCCCGATTGCAGGACTTCTCTAGGACTTCCCCCATCCTCTGGAACTCCCTACCCCAATCCATCAGACTGTCACCTACCCTCCTCACCTTCAGGCGCACCCTGAAAACCCTCCTCTTCAGGGAAGCCAACCCCAACCTCACCTAACAACTAACCTCCTCCACTCCTCCCACCACTCCATCCCCCACAGCCATCTCCTCCTGTACCACCTTCCCCTCCCTCCTAGATTGTAAGCTCGAAAGAGCAGGGCCCTCGAACCCCTCGTGTATTGTATTGTTACTGTCTTGTTTCATGTTCTGTCCCCCTCGCTAATGTACAGCGCTGAGCAAACCTTTTGGTGCTATATAAATACTGTATAATAATAATACTTGGTCCCCAGACAACACCCAGCTACATTTAACAGCAAACAAACTGGCACCATTGCATCTAGGTTCTGTGAATCTGCTCCCTCTGTGAGATTACAGCAAGAGGAATGACTCGATATCAGAGGAAGGCAATCAGGATCTTCAGCAGTAAGACCTTGTCGCTTGAGTCAACAAAAGCAACAGATGCCCAAAGACATAAGATGACTTTCTAAGAAGAACTGGCACACAAACATATCCACAAGTGTTATGTTTATATAGTGTGAAAAAACTGGCACCCACCTAATCTCAGAAGAACACTAACTGTAATAGTGAAACCCAAATGATCAATTCTTTGCCAAGATTAAGGAGACAAGAGTGTATGACCTGGTTGTAGTGCCATAAACAAGCAAATTGACATATAGAGGTTAAAGGGTTGGTTCACTTTCACCAAAAAACTGCCTAAGCAGGTAAGGGGGGTCTGTAGATAAAAAAAAAAATTGTGCAGCTTTGACCAAAATTGAATAATGCCCTTGCTATAAATGTAGGCCATTTACATACCTCAAAGTCTAACCTGAAAACTCCCAGGACGTTGCTAGGATGTTGCTAAGTGAGGCCCAGCTATTACTGTTCACCTTCACCATCACAGGAGTGAACTCCTCCTCTCATTCAAACCTCCTTACATGTGCTTTCTCTCCCTGATGCATTAGCTCTGACCTCAGAGCTTGAGAGCTCACCCCTGTGATGGTGGACGTTAACAGCAATAGCTGGGCCTTGCTTAGCAACATCCAGGGAGCTTTCAGGTCAAGTTTCATGAGGTAATTCAACTGCCTACACCTAGAACAAGGACATTATTCAACTTTAGTCAGGGCTGCACAGTTTGCTTTAATTTACAGAAGCCCCTTACCTGCAAAGGCAGCATTTTGGTAAAAGGTGACCACCTGGCAGCACTAGGGTCGTCGGTACAAACCTCAACTACGGCACTACCTTCCTGGAGTTTGCATGCTCTTCCTGTGCCTGTGTGGGTTTTTTATAAGTACTCAGGTTTCCTCCCATATCTCAAAACCATGCTGGTAGGTTGACTGGCTGCTGTGTAAATTGGCCCTAATATGTGTATGTACGAATGTGAGTTGTGAGGGACCTTAGATTGTAAACTCCTTGGAAGTCAGGGACTAATGTGCATGTACAATATACACTCACCAGACACTTTATTAGGAACACCTGTTTAATTGCTTGCTAACACATATAGCTAATCAGCCAATCACATGGCAGCAACTCAATGCATTTAGGCATGTAGACGTGGTGAAGACTACTTGCTGATGTTCTAACCAGGCATCAGAATGGGGAAGAAAGGTGATTTAAATGACTTTGAACATGGCATGGTTGTTGGTGCCAGACGGGCTGGTCTGAGTATTTCAAAAACTGCTGATCTACTGGGATTTTCACGTACAACCATCTCTAGGGAAAATCAAGACAACTCAGACCAGGCAACGTTTTTCCAATCGTCTATTGTTAAATTTTGGTAAGCCTGTGCGAATTGTAGCCTCTCTTTCCTGTTCTTAGCTAACAGGAGTGGCACCTGGTGTGGTCTTCTGCTGCTGTAGCCCATCTGCTTCAAGGTTTGATGTGTTGTGCATTCAGAGATGGTATTCTGCATACCTTGGTTGTAATGACTGGTTATTTGAGTTACAGTTGCCTTTCTATCATCTCGAACCAGTCTGCACATTCTCCTCTGACATCAACAAGGCATTTTCATCCACACAACTTCTGTTCACTGTATATTTTCTCTTTTCGGACCATTGTCTGTAAACCCTAGAGATGGTTGTACGTGAAAATCCCTGTAGATCAGCAGTTTTTGAAATACTCACACCAGCTTGTCTGGCACCAACAACCATGCCACCTTTGAAGTCACCTAAATCCCCTTTCTTCCACATTCTGATGCTCGGTTTGAACTTCAGCAAGTCGTCTTCACCTTGTCTAGATGCCTAAATGCATTGAGTTGCTGCCATGTGATTGGTTGATTAGCAATTTGTGTCACCAAGCAATTGAACAGGTGTACCTAATAAAGTGGCCGGTGAGTGTGTATGTATAGTGCTGCATAAATTGTTGGCCCTGTACTAAACAAAAGATTTGCTCAAAATCAGCTC